AGTTAACTAAAATAAACAAGTTCCAAGTAATATCTGTATACATATATAAAAAGCTTATATCAAATAAATAATATCTAACATCAAGTAAAGCAATCTCCATTCTTTATTGAATTTGACGCAAAGAATACATAAAATCTTTGTTAAAAGTTTAATATAAGTTATCCCAAATATTGCACTTATTATTCAAAAATTTAGCAAGCATAAAAAAAAGGAAAGGGAAAAAAAGGTGAAAATCCAAATCTCCTGTATCAACCATGGAATAAGATCTCATTTGGCTTTATAATTATTATGGTATTCTGTGGTTATCTAGAAGATATACTGATACTATAATTTCATGATCTTGGTAATGAGGCGAAAACCATGATGAAACATAATTAATTGGAAACTATAATATTTCCAAACGTAGCAGTAAGTCCAAAATATCTTTCAATAAATAAAATCAAAATCACAAGGAAATCTAATATAATTATGATTATTTAGTTACTAGATCCATCATCTTTAGAAAGAGACTGTTTTCCTCTAGAATAATAGATCATTCCTATTCTCATAATAATGCTATTAAATGGTCAAAAATAACAGGAAGAACAGAAAACCTTTAAGAGTAGGCATCACATTTTAGCATAAGGTATGGTAGTTATTATAGTTTGCTTTAAGATTACTAAACCTATGATTTATAACATCAAGTGCATTAACAATATTATCTAGCCTCTCTTGAATTACATCTCATTAATCTTTCTGAAAAGCAGAAATGTGGTCTACAACAACAACAACAACACTTCGTTGGGTCAGCTGCATGAATCTTTTTTCTCCATTGCGTCCTATTTAGTATCATATTTTCATTTAGTTCTAATAAATTAAGATCATTTTTTATACAATAAGCCCAAGTCTTCATAGGTCTACCTCTGCCTTTCTTAACATAAGTCGAATCTAAAACATCAACTCTCCTAATCGGATCATCAGATGGTGACCAAACCATCTAAGACGACTTTCACTAATTTTGTCTGTCACAGGAGCTACACCAACCCTACCTATCACGGATATATTCATTTTGCATTTTGTCTCTAAGTGTAAAGCCACTCATCCACCTAATCATTCTCATCTCGGCAACACTTAACTTATTATTATGCTTCTCTTTTAAAGGCCAACATTCAGCGCCATAGAGCATTGCAGGTCTCACCACCATCTTATAAAATTTTCCTTTCAGTCTTAGCGGTACTTTTCTATCACACAAAAGGCCCGAAGCATTCCTCCACTTCAACCAACCAACTTGAATTCTACTATTAACATCCCCATCTATATCACCATCGCTTTGGACAACGGACCCAAGATATCTAAATCGTTCACACCTTTTAATAATTTGATCACCCAAAGTCACACTTCTGTCACTAGAGCTATTACTACTAAAATTACATTCCATGTATTCAGTTTTAGTTCTACTTAAACGAAAGTCTTTAAACTCCAATGTAGACCTCCATAATTCAAGTTTTTTCCTGGGTTTTTTCTCTCGTCTACTTTCTCTAATCTTATCCATAAGAAGGATATCTTCAGCGAAAAATATACACCAAGGTACATCCTCCTGTAAATGTCCAGTTAGAGCATCCACAACTAAAGCAACAAGATATGACCTTAAAGCCGACCCCTAATGTCATAAATATTTGGTCAATCTGGTCAATCCTCCTTCAGTTCGAACACATGTAACAGCTCTAGTATACATATCTTTAATGACTTGAATATAAGTCATATCAACACCTTTCTTCTCAATAACTCTCCAAAATACATCTCTTAGAACCTTATCGTAAGCTTTTTTCTAAATCAATAAAAATCAAATGTAGATTCTCCTTATTATCTCTAAACTTCTCCATTAAACTTCTCAATACATGTATAGCTTCCATAGTAAACCTGTCCAACATAAAACCAAATTGATTATTAGAAATTTTTGTAATACGTAACACCCAAATCACTCAAATATTGGGATATCATTAGGTCCTACAGATTAGATCCTACATATTTTCCACCATTGGTCTTCTTTAAATTCTCCTCAACTTCTTTTTTACTAATGCGACAGTAAAAATGAAACGTTTTATTATTATTAACCATATAAAGATCACTAAGATTGATCGTATTTTCATAAACTTTATTAAAAAGTTTATCAAAATAACTTACCCACCTATGTTGAATATTTTTTTCTAAGAAAAGTTCTTTTTGATTTCCATCTTTAATACACTTTACTTGATTTAAATCTTTACTTTTCTTTTTTTCTTTGTTTGGCTAGTTTATACATATGTTTCTCACTCTCCTTAATATCTAATCTATTATAAAAATCGTTAAAAGCAAAATTTTTAGCGTCACATATTGTTCTTTTAGACTCCATGCGGGTCATTTCATATTTTTTCCAGTTTTCTCAGCTTCTACATTTAAACCAATTTTTATAACATAACTTCTTATATTTTATCTTTTCTTGCATATTATTATTCCACCAACTATTTTATTTAAAGAAACTTTTTTTATTTTGATTATCCAAGTTTTTTTTTGCTACTTGTTTAATAGTGTTTGTTACGTTATCCACATAGCATTTGTTTCACCATGAACATCTCAAATTCTGAAATCTTGAATTTTACTCATAAAAATAATTTTATTTGTGTTTTTAAGTTCTTCAATCTAATTCTACGATGATGAGCCCTACTATTCTTCATTTTACAACTCTTGATCTTAAAATTTAGAACTAATAAACGATGTTAGGTACTTAAATCCTCACTTGGAATGACCTTACAATCTTTACAATCTTGACGATCTCTTCTTCTCATAAGAAAATAATCAATTAGTGTTTTCTTAGATCCATTCTTATAAGTAATAAGATGTTCATCTTTTTTCTTAAATAAAGTATTACTAACAACAAAATCATATGCTAAAGCAATGCAGATAATGTGGTCTGCATAACAAAAAACAAAAAACAAAAAAAAACTAGTTCAGCTAAGAAAAAGGTTATTTTAGTCGAGAAAATGATTGAACCCCAACCATTCTTTCCAAAAACAAATAAACTCTTCAACAATCAATAGAATTCAAAGTCTCAAAATATTTGTGCACTTTTGAGGAAGACATGGTTATGACTTTTGGATTATCCTAAATCAATATTTAATAAATGAAGACAATTGTTGAACATGTAGGAAAAATGATTGAACTGTATAGCTGAATTTCTCAAAAAGATTGTTTGGTATTGTTCAATTTCCATGAATTCAATTGTGATAGCATATCAAAGGCATTATCATTATGCTCGCCAGAGTATAGTAAGTCAATAATAAGAAGAGCAAGTTCTTAACACTACCATGTCAATCTCCTTACAATTACACCTTGCTAATCTATTTTATAAATGAGAGAATGCAATCCTTGAAATAGGACACCAAATTGAGATATTTGCAACTAGTTTAACTCAAGAGCTGTTTCAATAAGGTTTAATAAATAAATCGATAAATGACACTCTTTTAAGAAAAATAAAGCCTATTTATAAATGAATATACTTCAAGTCCAAGAACATTTGTGCTTTTTGAAGGAAGAACTAGTTCAAGGTAAAAAAAAAGACAATTTTTCCATTTATAAAAACCTGATAAAAAAATGATAAGGTGCCCGGCTTAAAAATAATTTATTGTTAAGAAAATCTAACCAACATTAAAATAATGAGTCCATTTACCGATGGATGGGTATGATCGTCTGTTTATGACACTTAGAGAACTTTTTTAGTATTGTTCAATATCTGATTCAGTTGGCATAAAAATAAGTGAAGAAATAGAGATGATTCAAATGAATTTAAAGAATTGTACAAGTTAATGGAATTTTTTTTTTTCCTTTAAAGTCACAAAGCATAATTTTAACTTGGAGCATGATGCAAAAAAAGGTGATTCTCTCCTTCATGAAACTGAAATCTAGACTAGCTTTTACAATCACGCTACTTAAACTACTAGAAAATGTAACATGTTAATTTCAACACAAACCGAAACAATGCTTTAAAGCCATGGTTTTGTACGCATTGCAATTTTATGTTTCTTGTTTCCACTTCCAAAACAAACTGTCTGTAACACTAAGGTGAACTTCTATGGTTGGAATTTCAACATGGAGCATGATGCAAAAAAGTGATTCTCCCCTTCGCCAAACTGAAATCTAGTCTAGCTCACCCTGCTTAAACTACGAGAAAATGTAATATGTTAATTTCAACACAAAGTGAAACAATGCTTTTAAGCCTATGGTTTTGCACACATTGCAATTTTATGTTCCTTGCTTCCACTTACAAAACAAACTGTTTGTAACAGATAAGGTGAACTTCTATTGTTTGAATTTCTTATCGCATAAAAAAAATTATTTCCATCGAGTTTTGAGTACATGAAGACAACTACACATACCACGAAATAACAAAATATAATGATTTCATTCAAATTTAGGCATTAAAATGACATAAATTAGTAGATTAGATGATACATAAAAGATGATAAATCCATCTCTCATCCTAAAATCTATTGCAACTCACTTCCATACTTCCATGAAATTCACTAATATCTATAATTCATCATCATAGGTTTACACAACTGTAGAAGCAATCAAGTTCCTATTATAAGGGCCACAACCATTGTACATCAAAGATTGATGCTTGAGCAACAACTATAAACTCATCAACTTTTTTAACAATTTCACGAAAAAGTCTGTATTAAGCAGCCTTTTCAATAAAGCAAACCATAAATGATTTAGGTATTATTCTCATCAACGTCCACGTACACATCAACCCTTATAATTTACTTCTTTTGCGGAGCATAGAAACATAAATTTGCTAGACCCACTTTGAAGTCAAGCAGCATAAAAACGAGTGCCATTATATCCTAATCAAAAAACTCAAGTCATCAGAAAATCCACTCTTCAATCTCATTAAGCTGTACAGTGCGCACACATATCCAAGAGCTACTGGATAAAATGATAAATTCATCGGCTCAAATCAAAGTCAAGTTACGACGAATCACCTGACCAGCTAGCGGTCCGGCGGATGAGAGCTCTTCCCGGACCAGATCACCGGTGGCGATATGAGGCACACCGAGGAACTGCGAAAGGCGGCTAGCATAAGTGCCCTTGCCCACACCAGGACACCCAAGGAAAACCCATTGCACGTTCCTCTCCGCTGGATCTCTCCTTACCACCGGAACAGACGAACCCGCCAGCCCAAAGCTTGCCGGCATCCGCGCGCTCGACTCGGAAACTACCGACGACATCGCCCTACTCACCGCAGATAGCGTGGCAGCCGACCCGGAGGCGGATCTTACGAAACGGGTAAAAGTGGACATGGGGACGAGGGGGGAGAGGCGAAGGGAAGATCCTAGGTTTGTTTCCGCGTAAAGCGGAGCGTTCTGCTGGAAGCGGTAAGGACGGCGACACGGTGGCTCGAAAGGGAGGGGTTGTAGCCATTCAATGTGCATGGAAGACGGGCCACTAATGTTTGCACGCATCATAAAGTAGATCTAAAGGTTGAAAATGCCGAAAATTTTTACTGCAATAATTGCTTATTTCTAACCAAGATGGTGAGAAATGAGTTACTCATTACATGAGAATGTATGATATTTTATATGATGAATCTAGGCTTATCACCCGAAAAAATTAAATAAAATAGCGCATTTATATTCAGCTCCTAAGGTTCTTATGCATTCATTTATCTAATTCTATAATCAAAATACGCTCGATCGGTTTCAACTATTCTGAATGGGACATATGTTAAAGAATATATATAGTTGAGCACAAAGAATTATCATTTAGCGTGGAGCGAGTTATTTAGCCAATCGAACCAAGCATGTCGACTGAAATAAGAAGAAGAACGACTCGTCATCCTTGAGACTAGCAAAATGAAGACCCGATATAAAAGGATTCGATTATAGTAACAAAAATTATGATGGTTATGACGACCGACCGGTAGTATAGAATTTCAATTGCATTATCGAGATTTCACGATATAACTACTATTTGTTATAAATTTAGAAACATTAAAATGCATAGGAACTTCTTTTAGGGAAAAAAGGATAACACTTATTTTTGGATTCTTGAGTCACTCTCTCTTTCCTACACTTCATTTTTTGGGTATGATCTACATACAAATTTGGATATAACACCCTAAAAGGTACGATAAAGGTGGATCATATCACAGACAAAAAGATGATTCACTTAAAAAAAAAAAAAACATGACATGCGCCCGTGAGTCTATACCCAAAAAGATCCACAAGCTAAAGGAACAAATGTTGGAGGCAATCAAAGACACACTTGCTCGCAAGGTGGTGCAACCATAAAGACCGGCGATGCCATATTCCCATGAAGGACAACCTTCCTAAACGATGAACCATATCAAGACACGTGCTACCGGGACAGTACGGGTTCTATGCCACTCAAACATCGGAGATATGAATACGTAGAAGCGTCACAACCCATGTCGCCAGAAAATGTCTTATCTCAGCAAATCCCTGAAGTCAATCCCCCCCGAGTGCTTCAAAATCTTGGCTTTATAATCTTTTTATGGGTTGATCGAATCAGGTCAATCACATTGCCTCTTTTGAGTCGATTGTATGCTTATTGAGAATTATTGATGTGCTCAAGTGTCTCTTATTCATCAAAACACACAGAGAATCGACCCTCTAATGCTTGAATGGTCCACCACTGTAAGTGATTACCCCCTATGTGAATTTCAAGATAATGTCCATGGCTAAGTTTGCCAATGCACACAAACCATAAAAAATTTGCAAGCTCCTCTACAGTTGTGCCAAGTGCAAAATGAATCCTTGTGTACATTCATACCACACTTTCAAAGGGAAATACTGGAAGTCTGAGACCTCAAACTTGTTGTTGTGTATGTTGCCCTAGCACAAGGGCTTACAGAAGGCCATTTTTGCTACGCTTCAGGTCTGTAACGGTCAAAGGTGTTGATCGAGCTACTAGAGCTTGCCAATAACCATCTTCACTGAAAAATATAATTCTTTTTTTACTACTGGAAGAGAATCACCTAGTCAATACCCACTAGTGGAGTTTTTTTTTTTTTTCAAGTGTGTCCATTACATATCTAAAAAAAAAATTTGATCTAAATAATCAAGTACAACATTGGAATAATAACGTGCCACCATGATGGGAGGAAAACTTACCATGGAATTGCTCTAATCATATGGATGATGAAAAATCCTAAAGATTTATAGGTATATGGAACCAGTGGTTTTCCCCTATTTTGCGAGTGTATGATAGATTTTATTTTATTATAAGGTATGATATCCTTACAAAAGCAAAACCTCATAGTTAGTTGCATCTCTAGAGCCATGAGTTCTAGAGAAAAATCTCGATTAAATATTGACTTACATCATTTAGTTTTTCAGGTTGGACTTTTTCAAACTTTAGAATTCTAAATGGCAGTGATGACTGGATCAAAGTTCAAAATATTTGGAGGGATTGAGTTTAAAGGATAAGATTTACAATCTAACAATTGTGTGTAATAGAAAAGCCCTGGAAAAGGATTTGACCAACTTAGGTGTATGGTTGACCTTGAAGATTTGAGTTCACTTGGGATTGAGATAAAATCAAAAGGGTTGGAAAAGGTTTGTTTGATTTGAAAACTTGATTGAGAAGGTTAAGTTCGGAGGTTTGAATCAGGACGATGGATTTAGAAGATTTGATTTTGAGTTGGTAATATCCCTAAATTAAGGAGGTAAAGTCGGGTAGAAAAAATTTCTAGACGGAGGTGAAACCTCAATTTCAACATATGCTTAAAATCTATGAAGAATCCAAATAGATCAAAAACCTATAATTTGATAATAATGCCCCCGGTCAAGCTGCACAAGACATTCGATCGTCAAGGGTGTATCTGTGTTCTTCAACTATGAACAAGCCTTATGAATTGAAATCTTCGCCTAGTGTGGTAGAAATGGCAAGTAGAGAATTATTAACTAAATTTGGAAAGCTTTCTCTTCAATTAAGCTTAGAGTCCCATATTTGAAGAATAGATTAATGATTCAATTGCTTGTTGGTTCAAACAAAACATATATTTCAAAAAAGAAAACCAATCCATATGTTTTGAAGTGGCTTGATAAAGTATTCTGATGAAATGATTATTCAATAGCTCTCTCATCCATTCTTTCCCAATATTTTTAAGGAATGTTTTTTTCTTTTGGAAACTTATATTATGCATCTTTTAATGTAATTATTAAATCATCCATATTATGATTGCCTAAGTTATAAATATGCATTATTATTAAAAATGCATTAAACATTTTGCTAAAAAAGACAATCATTCATTTTGACCATATATAAAAAATCTTCCCTAAAAATCAACGACCTTCAAACAATATTTTTTTTATATTTTTATATTATTAGAAATAGATTGATTTTATACTATTATTATAAATATTTATCTCTAGTAAAATATGATTGTTGATCCATTTTTAGCCATGCTTATATTAAACTGAACTTTGATATTTCCAAATAAACAAAGTCACCTAAGAACATCTCCTCTAAATAAGAAATAGCTCGGAGCATTAATTAATCCTTCCCAAATAGGACTTGCCTTTTGAGTTATATCAGAGCAAGACACTATAAATGAATTGACCGAGAAAATGTATAGGAAGTAAAATTTGCTCCCACTTGTTTGGTAGCGATATCAATGGGGAAATATTCATGTAATTCTTGCTTAACTAATCAATTGATTAGAAATTGAGTTTTTATTTATGATGAAAATGAGAGTTTTAATTCAAAACATTGATATCCTCACAAAATTTTATTCATATTGTTCACTAAAATTAGATAAGAACAAAAAATTTAAATTTATTCACATTTGGAAGCAAAATATATAGAAGGTTGTCAAAAAAGCTTATTCACCAACAGCTCGTGTTTGGCCCGTTAAACAGCTCGTGTCTAATTCTTAAATGAGCCAAATAAGAATAAAAGTTTGTTCATCCGTGTTTGGCTCATCTTAGCTTGAAATGAATAAATAAATAAATAATAATATTTATTTATATCTTTTTATATTAAATTTTTACATGTATTGAACTATAATTTTTTTTAAAAAAATATTTAGGTGTTAAAATTATAAAAAGAACGGGATTAAAATTTTGAACTTATGAAGAGCCAAAAAAAAGTATCACTGAAACATAAATTCCGGTAAAAAAAAAACTATAATCAAGCATCAAACTCTCCCACAAAAACCATAAAAAGTGGAAACAAGATTAACATTTACTGCATAACTACAATAATAGAAAAGTTTAAAAGCGCCAAATTTGAACGGAAGATATCATCCCGCACAAAACAATCCCATAAAATTCATGTTATCAATTGAGGAATACAATCAAATAAGCAGCAAAAAATTCATCACATTCTAGAAATCTGAAGAGGAACCATGATTTCAAACAAATCCTCCCAAAAAACATTCTTAAAGAAATCCGAAATACCATACTGTGTTTGAAGACGCCTTTGGCAGTCTTCAGCAGCTGATATTCCTGAAGAATACGCTCCATGCACAGTTCCAGAATGGTCGACGCTCGCCGCTTCGCCGGCAAAATAGAGATTATCAACCGGAGCTCTAAACCTCTCATAAAGATCAGCCGGTTTACCAACAAGATCGCACGAGTAAGAACAGAGAGAATCCATATCCGACCCCCATCGCGAAACCAAACATTGTACCTGGAGAAAGTCATAATTTCAGATCACAAATCTGCTAGCCCTAAACTGAGAAAAGAATGATGGTTAAGAGCTTACAGGTGGTGTTGCGTGTGGAAGAATATTCTTGAGCTGCAACATTACAAACTTAACCGCTTCCTCATCTGATAACTTCTCCAGTTCAACAGCAAAGCTCCCAGCAGCCATGTACACCAGAACAGAATTTCCAGTTGCCTTGTGTAAATTTAGGAAGTAACCGCAAGCATGGGAGCTTGGAGCAACGACGCCTAATACCTCAACGTTTGGCCAGAAAACAGTGCTGAAGCGTAAAGCTATTTTGTTCTCGATACCGACGCCGATATCAGAAATGGCGGAGAGTTTCCAATCTGGCAGCTTAGGCTCGAATTCGATAAGATTTGCTTTGAGGACTCCGAGAGGAACGGTTATTATAGCGGCGTCCGCGACGAAGTTGGTTCCTCCCTCTAAGGTGACGATAACTCGATTGCAGCGCTGAACAATTTTTGTTACCCTGATTTCCATAATAAAAAAAAGGATGTTAAAAAAAAAGAAATTTTGATCTCCTGGACAGTTGCTAAATCATTGTAAATATGCATTTCTTTCAGTTGAATATGATAAAAAAATTCCTATTGATGCGTGCCAAAAAATTCGCGGCTGTAGAGGAACGGACTATCGTCTTAGCGTTGCACACAAATGAAGTTCAGCACACACACAAATGAAAAAGAAACAAACGGTGATGATTCTATAAGTTTTTAAGTGGAAAACCCGTAAGGAAAAAAACACGGGGTCTAGCCCAGTTGCAGAAATCCACTATTGATTGTTGATTACATGAATCTCTTGTCCCACAGACAGGAAATTGTAACTATATTTTTTAGATTACAACGTCGGCTGACGGCATCTGATCGGTGGTGATTGATGGTGGTTAGTGGTAGTTGATGACAGTTGTCAGAGGTCGGCAGTGGTCGTCGGTGGTCGTCGGCGGTTGGAGGTGGTGCCGAGCTGCAGCTTCTCCTCAAGACCCCAGATTCTCTCTCTCTAGACTTCAACTATCTATTTATAGTGTTTTAGGTGCAATTAATACATGAATATCAACCATTTTGATCGGACGGTCCAGAGAGTTTCCTTCGATCATGCCGCATTTAATGGACATTTGAGTGTCTTAACGATGTCGAAATTGAGTGATCTTGAGCTCGTTGGATTCGTCTTGTCGAGCCGCTCGATTCGAATATAAACTTGTCAGTGTCGATATATGTTTGACCTTCCAAATGTGTCAAAAAATCTTCCAAGGGTGGTTTAATGACTTGATCTGAGCTTGATTTGACTCGAATTGGACTAGTTTTCATATCATTAGGTCCGTCTCATCGAGTCGGTCAGTTTGACTATAAATTTGCTAAAATCAGAGCTCTGGATGACTTTTTATCAAGATTTAAATGTTTTTTGCTTAAAATATCGTCTTGAGATTTGTGTTATGTTTCGAGATTCGTGTCAGATGATGAAAATTTGTTGGTGACGTATCACCTATATACGTAAGCATTTATCACAAACTTCAATTTTTATAGCACCTTACTTATCCATGAAAAAGTATGTATCTAATATTTTTTATGTGACATTAAAAATTTGGGTGGTAATGTGGTATAAATGTAAAAATTTAAGTGCTAGATACTTAAATATATAAGAATTGAGTTGTATGTATGTAAATGCCCAAAATATTAAATGTTGCCACTGGTAGCTGACATGATTAAACAACAAAATAACTAGAGTTAGCACAAGAGCTGTGTTTAGCAGGTAATAACTAGCCATCCAGAAAACCATACCTGTGGTTCAGACGGATATTAAGGTCTCCTGCAAGAGCTTCTATGAGAGGATTGTAGCCTTGCACCATGAGAGCATGACCGCCAGTAAGCACGTGCTCCTGCATTCACAAGAATATTATCGCCATAGAGTTTTCAATGATGCTAATGTTAATTTGGTTCACAAGTTCTAATTCTTGATATAATATGACAAAATAAACAATAGAATGACCCAATCTTTCTTATCACAACGCGAGTAAGTGATTCTGCAAATTAAGTTCCCAATTTAAACCGTTACATTAGCATTTGCAGGCCAATACACGTTTGGACAAACAATAATAATTTATCATTTAGATGATCTGAAAATTTTTCACGATGTTCCAGCAAGTTTAATTTAAAATCTTTATGTAGATTGGCGGTGAACCAACACTCCAACAGACTCTTGGAACCTCTCCCTATTTTGGATTTCTGCAGTCAATGCAATAACCTTTTATTGCATTCTCATGCAGCTTGTGGATTGCGAAGGGCGTGGATGACAGAACAATTCAGGAAAGGACAATAATGTAACATGAACTGATGACTGACTTTAACTCAAACACTCGAGGAAAAAACCATTAAAAAAGAAGAGGTTTCTTCAGATTAGTGTTTACCTGATCCCAGTTATTAAGTGATATAGCATCTACATCTGCAGCAAACCATGCTTCCATTCTACATATGTACCATTGTAAAACTTCATAGGCTAAACCTTCTTGCCTATACAACATGATTAGAAGAAACTCACATAGCACTCAAATTTTTTATCGCGACCAAAGCTTATATATCAAGATAAAAATAAAAGACTATTTATACCTTAATTCTGGATGTTTATCCAAAACAAAAGAAATTGCTTGCAAAACAGACATGTCATCTACATGCTCATCTCTAATTTTCACAGTCTGTGAAATCACCATCAGATCTTGTATATGAAACTATATCAATGGAACATTCAAAACTTTCAATTTCAAACATACAATTTAGTACCTCTTTGAGAATTCTCTCAAATACTTCTCCAACTTTGATGACGAGCTCTTGAGGAACCTGGTGACCATCCTTACCAAAAAGCGCATAGCTGCATGAAGCATCTTAATATTTTTTTAAAAAAAAACAAGCTGATAAACTGCTAAAAATATCAGATAATTGAAAATGTCAACATTACATGAGTAACATATAATATTTAAATACCTGTTTAAACTATCTTGAAATTATCCATAAATATTCACACAGCCATACCAACAGAATAAAAGTTAATGTAGATCCGGACAAAACAAAAAAAATCTCCACAAAGTCTTCATTTATTTTGTGGTACAAAGGAGGAAGATAAAAACTGACAACTGGGGCGGAGAAAATTGGAAGAAAAGAACACAAGGGTTCATATTGTTGGTAAAAGCTATCACGGCCTCAATATTACATCTAGCTCCAAGACTGACAATGTTATAATTGTACATCTAGCACCAGCGAACACTAGAAGGCCCAATTATGCTAAATATAAGGTCCCGAAAAGGAAGACAGGTTTGAGACAATACTTGCCACATGGGCTTAAATTAACAAAAGGTTTAACAAAAAAATGTGAAAAAAAAGATGCATTTACATGGAGATAAAGAAAAAAGAATATAGTAAACATTAAGAATTAAAAATGAAGAATTTAGACTAAAAGTTTTAAGTACCTCTCAAGGTCATGGTCATACAGAATAGAGTTTTCACCACTAGTGCGATATAGCTTCAATCCTAACAACCTAATAAATGGAGCCAAGGAGTTCTCATTACAAACACCGTGAAGCCTGAATGGTCATATAGAAAACACTTGGGCTCAGTGAAGCTAGAAACTTGTATAATTAAAAAAATTAATGGCAATTTGACTGAAGTACAAATATGAGCAAATAGAAAAAAAAAAAAAAATATATTTACCATGATGCCCCCATATCAACAGGACAGCCAAAAGAATAGTCTGTGTATGCTCGACCTCCAATCCGGTCACGTGATTCCAAAAGTGTTACCTGAAGTGAATGTGACTCTCATAAATCACAACAATATTTGCATCAATCAAATATAACATTATAAAAATACTACTGAAATTTAAGAAAACCAAAAACATAAATAAATAAATAAATAATCTTAAAATAAACCCATATATAATATATTATCTTAAAAAAAAAAAAAACACCAATACTAAAACAAAGTTATTACCTTAAATGAAGCATTGGTCAATGCCCGAGCAGCTGCAATTCCTGAAATTCCTCCACCAATTACAATCACTGATGGTGACGAAGGCTGCTTCTCAATGGCTGAGAAGAAGGAACCTACGACAAAGAGATAAAAGTGTTCAGCAATTCAAAATGCAATATCACATGAGAATTCAGTTAGAATAAGGATTCAATATTACAAAAAGCAAGATGGCCTAACTTCAGACAATTTCACAACCAAAGATGGTGATTACTCGGCAAAAAAATATGCTAAAAAAATACTAAGATGTCTCCTGCAAAAAAGACCACCGTCAAGACTCGAGTCAGAACCAATATAATGCCCATAAACAGATTTAGAAAGCTCCCCCTACTAGCAACCTTAGTCATGTACCCATCAAATTCGATTGTAACTTAAGTACCCACCATTATCCAATTGAAATCAGTGGAGAAAACCTAAAATGATATTGCAATTTTCTAATCTAAACAAAAGGAAATGATAAGAATATTGTATGGAAATTCAAATACATCATTTTATAAACATCTAACGAATCCTCAACAGATTCTATAATGACAATTATGATATCACAATTTTTTACAATGATACGCCTTCTGTTATAAACGTTGTAATTCTCCCAACTTTACGAAAATAACTAGCCTCTTAAAATGTACTCTCAAAAGGCCAAGAAAATGACATAAATTGGCAAATATATGAAATGACATTTTAGGGTAGCCAGAAGACTAAATTACTTTGACTGTTAATTTTTCTTTTAAGTAGGCATCATATAAAACAGATAAAAGGAAAGAAAATTGTACTAACAATACCGGCTTTATTAGAAATATGAAATGTTTATTTCAAAAGAATCAATAATTGCAAAAAAAAAAGATTCCATTGCTTTCAGTGAACCTATTCATTGTGGTAGGTTTTCAATCAGAAGCGCCTTTTCCCAACTCTGATCACCATGCCCTTTAACTTTTGTATTTTCGTTTATTTTACAAGTACCATTAATATAAGGAGATGAATCGTGCAACGACAACCCAATCTTTCATGATATGACAAATAAATGAGTTACCTACAAGAAGGTTAGTGATTCTACTGACAACCCAATTTTTTATGATTTTCAACTAATTTTGATAATTTTAGTTATTTTTCCAATTTTTTTTTATCATTTTGGTCAGATTTTTTTATTTTTTTATAATTTTGTTGTGAGCTCATCCACACACATACGCCTTTCCTAAAAAAATTGATGGATAGTTTTGTTGCCTTGAATTTTTCAATTTCAAATTATTTGATATAAAGACTGAGATTTCACTGCATTCAATAAATTTCTACAAAAATGTAGATAATTTCTCAAACCTTTTCAGATGGTGCAACTATTACAACCTTCTTTCATAAATTTTATAAATAATGAAATGTTATCATTTGGTAAGGAGTGCTTCTCAAAATTAAAACTTTGTCAAACGCCTCTTAGTTGATTACAGAAATTCAAGAGTTTATGTGATTTGTAAGTTCATCTAAATTGAACCAATTTTTTATGGTTGCTCCTCATAAAATAAAAAATACTCTCAAAATAATTTCACAGATTTTCCCCAGGTAGTTTCAATAATAAAATTATATAGTGATTGTTGGTTAACAATTTCTATGAAGTGATATTGTCATAGAAAAATTCATTATGTGGTAAAAAATATAAGTTTTCCACGACCTAGGTACCGCTTTGTATTATTATTGCCCTATGCATTTCTGTAATTACAAATAACAAATAAATGTACCGTTATGCTAACTTATTATCTACTCAGGAAGAATGTTGTTTTATTTTGGCAATATACTATTTATTTAAAATGGAAGTTAATATATGAGTTATCTCCTTAGTATGTTAACAATATGAATTCGTCATTTGTGTATTCCTACCTTTTTTTGTATCTTTCAGCCTCAGTTTCTTTTCTAGAATTTTAAATCTAGGGAAAAAAAGCATCAAGGAGACTCTAAACTAAATATGGTAATTCAGTCTTAAATATAGTCTATGTCAGTTTCTCTCTCTCTTTCTCTCAAGCTCTTTGGTTCAACACTCTCTCTAATCTAAAAACTAAAAGCACAAAAATCACTCTTCCTTCAAAATAGTAGTTGTACTCTGAACCATCCAGCTTCCATTTATAAATAAGGTGGGTTGGTTACAATATTGGCTACATTTAATGTGGTATGATATGAAATCACAATCATGAATTTATTAGAGGAAATAAAGACTGCAAACAAAGGAAGGTACAATGTGTCTCATCCATTACCAATACCAAAAATGTAAAATGTATAACCGGACTATCATTGTTACTTTGTGATCAGCAATCTTCTCAAGTTCGAGGTAAATCATCTCTTCGGTGCTTTTTGAACCCTTCTCAAAATCTCTCATTCTTATGTCTCCTCATGCACCTTTTGGAACCCTTCTGAGGATTTCTAGATCCTTTTTGGATCCTTCTCAAGATCTCTGCATTTCAAGACCTCTAGTACTTGATATTCAACATGTAGGTCACATAATTACCCAATAACACTTATAAACTCTCTTCTCTTCCTAAAATTCTCTCAACAATAATGCTCCTAGTTTGAGATCCTCTAAGCTAAATCATAGATCCTCTCATGAGTCCTCTTGTTAACTTTCATGATACCTCATTTGGACTCCTCACCTGATTCACTTGATCTCCGATCATCAAGTCATGAAAGGTTTCCAACGAGTTTGTCCTCATATTCAGATTGAATGGGGCAATCAGGAGAAAACAAACAAGTTTATATAGGTAAAGTCCCAAAGGCAAGCAATTGGGGTTCTTAACGTTGATGGGAACTCCAAAATTCCTAGAGTTATCTCTGTCAAAAGTCCTCTTCCAATATGCAGGATGAGAAGCTGTTTATAGATTTTCGTAAGGTACATTATGATCATTTATAAAGTCCACCTGGACACTTCATCAAATAGTTAAAGGTAACCTTTGATAATTTTATACTTCGAGGCATTTCAATGTTTTAGTGAACATGGAATTGAGTTGTATTGGGCTCAACAAATTTGTCTAATCAAGCCTCTTTCAACTATAAGGGACGTAAATTTTTTAAGAAACTTGACTCATCAGATGGGTCTCACAATTTTTTCACTATGCTTGTTAATTTTTTATTTAGGCCCATTTGAATTCAGATCCGAATGTTTTTGAACTCTCGAGCCTCAATGTTTCAGCTACAATTTTCTCAGAAATTGAGTTCATATGATAAGCTAAATACTTAGGTTGCTTAAGATCTAAAAATTGCATAAGAAATAGTGCTTAATTAGAAGAATTTTCTAATTTCGTATCCTATATGAATCTTATGAGAATAAGTTTAAAAAATTTGCCGGATCAGAGGCACAGACTGCCAAAAAACAGCGGCATCAGTATTATCCTGGAAAGTCAAACATCGCAGTATCAAAATAAATGTTAATAATAGATGGATCTCAATTCAACATTAAAGAGAAAGCTACTATTCATGGGCTCCAACTCCAAACTCGTCCAATTTCCACTAAAAAACTAAAAAAAGCAAAATACCACTCCAAATTTAACCAAGCTCCAATTATTCGAGCCAAAAAATCGAACGAGCTGAAACCTCATGCACTCACTTATGAGACACAGAACGAAATTCTTACCGGCGACTGAGAAATCCTCGCAGGATGAGAGATTCTTCGACTCCATTGCCACCAAAAAATAAATTTCTACACCCCGATCCCAGATCCAGGACTTACGAATTCAAAGGTATAGAATAAGAATCGGAACGTATAGGGCAGTGATAGAGAATAAAGATCAAGAGACCATCTAAGAAATGGCTCGGATCTGACAGTCCGCGGAGATTATCAAACCAGCTCATACGTGAAACCCTGTTGAAGAACTCAAACCGGCAGAGAATGAAGAGCGAGGGGAGGGAAAAAACTTCAGAGATCCGACTGTCTTCTCCTCCTTGAAGAGAATAACCAGAAGCAAGGACCACGCGGTTTTTATAGGCAAGCGAACACGGAGGTACTCTTTGTCTGTTGATCTACGAAAGCCCCCTCGGCTTTTCCTTCCAGGAAATTTAGTGTTGACAACTGATTTGGTTTTATGTTATTTAAAATATTTTGAGGCGGCAGTTAGCTGTAGAAAATTAGAGAAAGATTTGGGGGCGGTGTGGATCTATTTTTATTTTCTATTAGGGATAATTACATAAAAGCCACATAAAATAATCATATTTATATATTAACCACTCAGCTGATTTTTTTTACAATCAAACTATTGAGAGGGTGGTTGATTTGTAAATAACAAGTTTCGGGTGATTTGTATGTAATTCATCCTTTTTTGTTATTACTATTTAGAAAAAAAATATAATTGTATATATTTTATTATAATTTATTTTATTTTTCTTTCTCACCAAATGTTTAGAGGAATTTCCCAACCCTAATTGAATTTTTATAAATTTGTAAGGTTCTAGGTTAATTAATTTATATACTTTATTTATATAGTTATTTATTTATATTTAAATTAATTTAAGTCAACTAACTAACTAACACAAAGCCTTGAAAGGCGTCGTTAGGGGTGATCTCAGAAAAGGTTTGGGGATGATTTAAATGATTGTTAGTGCTTAACTAATTTATTTTGTTTTTTTAAGTAAGTGGGTGGGTGGCTTAAATTTTAAATGCCATCCAATTTCACTCGCATACTCTTTTGGGAAAATTCCGAGGGGTTAGTGGTGACCTAAGAGACTCTCCCAATAAATTTGGGATAAATTTGAATTGCTTGATGAGCTTTATTTTATTTTATTTTTTAATTAATTAATTTAAATTTACCCAATAAAATTTAGGCTTTTATTTTTTTATTGAATTATTCTATTTTTTCTTGAGCTCGTAACTTATTTATTTCTGTTTTTTTCATTATTTAATTTTTATAAATCTATAAGTTTTATGTATTTTTTTTAAAAAAATTTCCCTATTTTTTCATACAATCAGTGCTTACTAATCCAAACGTCACATAGAACGCGATCTATTGATTGTTGTGATCCTCGTGACCATGGGAAGGGCTCAATACTAGCATGAACTAAGCCCAGTAATATGATTAATGATCGGACACTATCTATTGGATTTTGATGATGTTTTTTAAATAATCCTTTGAAAGTTATTTTGAATACCATACTTTTATTTCAGAAAGGGTGTAATGGCCTCATGTTGAATGACTAAGAGATAAGGGAGATGCCAAGGCTACTGACTTTTCGAGCCAATTGCAAAAACAATGTTAGGAGATGATGAGGAGCAAGTCGCTAACGCATTGGCCACTAAAAGTGGATGTAGATGAGGAGGATATGAATTCCCTTACAAAACTCCCGAGAAGGCAAGGATGTCATAGAAGAGAATGGTGATTAGGAAATAGGATCCAGTTCCCTGAGTCCTAAGTCAGTGCCCGCGGGCAAGGGAAAAGTTGTGCTAGAGAAATCGATATCACATACAAGTCGCCCCTATAAGAGAAAAGTGGAGGAGAAAAGTGGATGTTGGTGCCACGACCTCAGGTGCAATTGCGCCTGGTTTCGCTTCCTAAAAAGTTTGATATGATGGATCATATTTCCACGATAAATGAGACTCAGAATCAAGTGTTGGTGGATTTCAGCCAAGACTGGAGGAACGAGGACTATAATTAGAGAATCCTTCAGTTGGGGCCAGCCATCCACTTTGTAAATTTGGGGGACTACACAAAAAAAAAAAAAGAAATTTCTCACTCACTTATGATTGGATATGACATTATTAAGGAATAATATATCATATCGAGGGAAGAAAAGTCACCCTATCATGGATCCAATCCTAAAGTAGGTTCATCACTACTCTATGGATATAAAAGGATAAGCTTTATTTTAATTACGAGGTATGGTATCATTAAAGTGACAAGCCCCTTTAGTTAATAAAATCTAACAAAATGATAATTAACACACCAAAGCTGTCAGCATGGATCTTAAAGAAATCGAACAATCCAGAAGCCGACCAGGAGATCAGGGCATCCTACCGTCCCACAACCAACTGCATAATCAAGGATTGGCTGGCACACTATGACGAGGGATCTGAACAACAGATCGCGCCTGCAATCCCTACTGACTATAACACACTCAAGGACCCTTGATCGTTGCCAATCAACGGACCCCATTTTGTCGCGCTAGACGAGATTGACACTCAACTGGGCGCCTCGGTCGACCACCCCATGGCGTGGTCACTATTAAGTCGGTCGCCTCAATCGGTCAAATTCAAGTAAGTCGACCAACCAATTATCGATATATTAAAATTCAAATTGTGATACTTATATGGTATGAAATTTATGTGATTGATTCAAACATTGATTGTATTAAAACCAGTTTTCATATCTGTTCTCTCCTTTATGAAATTGTACAAAATATTCATGAATAAACTAGAGAAGAAAAATACAAGTAAAGAGGCTCTCCCGTGTCTCTTTACAGAGAACTCTATACTTATTTTACTCTCTCTCTCTCATTCATCTTTCAACTGAGTCTAGCTCTGAAACCGTGTTCACAAATAACAATTTAGGATTCAAACTCCTATAAGGTGGTGTGGTGAGTGTGGATCATGCTACAGACGAGAAGTGAAAAAGACTACAAAGAAGAAACCTCCCAAAGAGAGATAACACTCATGGAAGCCAGTAGAGATGCTACACAATTGAATGTCCATGCACAAGTCCAAAGCCTACAAGCCCAAATGCCCCTCATGACGAAGCAATTTGATAACCTCCAGGCATCAATAACTCAGAAGAACATCCACAGGCCTCGTATGGAAATAAAACCTCAGGGGGTCTGACCCGAAAGGGCCCCATCAAAGAACCTGTATATTCCAAACAACTAGGTCACCAGCCAACAAAGACAAGGAGAGCCCCAGCACACTAACATAGTTGCTTCTGCACATAAGAACAAGTGATGGGAAGAGCG